TATATAGTTTATTATAAAAATCTGATTTTACCATCTCCATAAATGATGGATGACAATTCTTTTTTACTACTTTTGTTTTCCGTTTCGTCGCTTTTGTAGGATCAGGTTTGAGATATACCTTCACATATGTATTTGGTTCTTGAGCATTAGCCACTTTAGGCAGCTCTCGTGCATGACAAACCATTACAGATAAAGTACCGCGAACGTAATGAAGGACCAATTTGATTTGACCACACTGTATGTTATCTTTAACTCTTTTCTCGGCCCACCAATTATTTCCAACTGTTACATAAAAATAATATTTTGTTTTTTTATATTTTGTTATTATTTATATTAATTATAATATATTATATATCGTTTTTACTTTTAAAATTATTATTAATAATAATATATAAATGAAATGCTATTGTACTTAAAAGGAATTAGAACATTCAATAAATAGTGCTCATAAATAATAATAACATATTTGGAGAAAAATTTATCAAAATGTACCTTTAACTTTACGTGAACGAATATCGGGATTCTTTTGGTCTCGTAATAACGGGTGGAAGAAAGTGTATACTAGATCACTTTGAGATATTTCCGGTGCCATTTTAAATAGACTTACGAGGAACTTTTCTATATCTGCCCGTCGTTTATCGGCTACTTGCTTAATATTAGAGCGTCCCATGCTAATCCCGCTTGGTAAACTGTGAAGCAAATAAGAAGAATCAAACTTATTTGCAAAATACAAAGATATTTCCGCACTCGTAAACACCTTTATTCGCGTTTCGCACGAATGATTAATGTAGATATCACTAGGCGATATCGTTTTGTAAATAAACAAGGTAGTAAAGGCCAAATAGCAGCATTAAGCAGTAGTCACGTTATGAGATCTCTGCGTGTAGTTTATGTGTAGTAAAAGGAAAAGAATGAATTTAAATTAAAACGTTTTAACTTGAATAGAGTGCTACATTAATTAATTTCTTAATTAATTAATTAATTTCTTAATTAATTAATTAATTTCTTCAGAGTTCTTTAACAAGTTTTGTGATATGCTCGTCAATTAATCATTGCATGACTAAGTCTGTTAAATATGAAATATGTCTGAGTAATATCTGATGATCTGAAGATAACACATATCAAAAGGTACGATATTGCGCCCCGACAATTTTTGCGTTTAAGATATCCTCTTACACGTAGAATCTAAGACATTCTCTTTGTGTCGTGTTTTTAGGATACACATCGCAAAAAGTTTCTTATTTGTGATAACGTACGCACGGACAGAGTTTTCATTTTAAAGCTACGATTAGTTGAGCTAATCAAGCCTATCTGGCACTTGATATTTTCTCTTCTAAAGTAAGTGATGACAGTTCCTTTGACAGTTCTATATTGTAAGTACATAAATTATTTTCGGATATTATAATAAAGTCACTATATCATTTCGTTAATTGTTACTTTGTGTAAGAAAAATTAATAAATTATTGATAAAATAAATTATTGATAAAAAACGTAATGTAATTTTTCAGAATACAAATTATAATTAACAAATATACTTGATTATCAAAAGAGGAATCACATATTTTAATATAATATAAAGGTCTCTACATAAAAGTAAGTTTAATATTATAAAGTTAATACATTTGTTAATATTTACAAAGAAAGATTATAAAATATTTTTAATTTTATCAGTAAAAATACGAAAATGTTATCTATAGATAATGTAAGAATTTATTAAAGATTTGATTGTTCAATGCAATTTAACCTGTTTCTAAAGGTCTAATATTGAATTTTGGAAGAAAATGGGTTTAAAATGGTTTCGAGCACGATTGTCGATGAAGAAAGAAGCATCTAAAATCCCAGCAATGTCGGGTTTATATCGGAGAATATCATATTTCGAATCGGCAACACGGAAAAATATAGAGATTTCAACTATGTCTCCTTCAATCGCGAGTGATTCAGCGACAACTGATAATAATGAAACAGCGCAATATGACCGTTCAAAAGCAGATTTTACAAATCAATCGTCATCATCAATTATTGATCTTGAAAAAACCATGGTGAAAGACAATGATAAGAAATCACAGATAAATAATCATGCAATCGAAAATATAGAATCTTCTACTTCTACTGAAGACTTAAACATAAAAGAGCAATCGACATATAGCGAAAAATCGAACAAGATAACTAAAGATCAGAACAATATATCAGATATAAAAAGTCCTATCTGTGCAGATAATGAGCTAGTAATTTAATAAAAAAAGATATTAAAAATTATTAAAATTATAGAGATGTTTTGAATAAAAAATGAATATTTTTGTCTCAATTTGAAAGAATATTTATACATTAAGTGTTTAATGTCCTTCTATATATATGTTTTATGTAATTATATTATTTATATATTATATTCGTATTTATATTATTTACATATATCTATATTCGAAATTGAAATGTAATTTAATAATATAGAATTAAACATAAAATGAATGTTAACATTATATCTATATAATATCTATATAAATATAATCTAATAATATTCGTATAAAATATTCTAATATATGAGAAAATGTTAATATTGTTGCTTTTGAATTAAAAAATAAATAAATGTATAAGATTGTGATAATCTTACAATGATTAATATTATGAAAAGAAGATAATGAATAAATAATAATATGAAAAAGAACATAATATGTATGTATATTTACCTTGTTACTTTAGCAAGTGGAAAATGTATGCATAATTTCTGATAAAACTCGCAAAATTCTTTGTATGAACGGAATAGATATGTCGGATCGGGTTGGCCTTTTCGTTGTACTCGTAAAATGTACATGTAATATTTTTCCGGATCATAGCGTTTTTGATATCCCGGAACTTGGACGCTTGTTAATTCACCTTCTTGCTGCATTCTATGATCATAAATATATGTATTAATATATTATTATTAATGTTATTGATTATTAAATGAAAAGCTAGAAAAATCATGCTTTTAAGATTTCCGATTTTTCATGATTGGTATAATCAATTTTATGTTCATTTATGTTTAATAAAAGTGAAAAACTCACGTATATGTACGTGGAATAAAAGATAATAGTTCTCCATCACTATGATCCCCGGAGAATCTAAGCTGCGCCAAGTTATGCAAGAAGAAATTGAACTGCGTAAACCAACTTTTCAGCGAACTTTCTATCATACGAGCGAAAGTCGCTGCCGCTTCGGGATTTGTTTGTCCAGGAAGCAGAGCTTTCTGCACATAACTAACTGCATCCATAGTCACTCCAGGAATACCGGACGATGTCATCTGCGAGGTTGTATACTCGTTCATTCTCGCTTTATTTAAATGATCTTTTATTTCAATATCATACAACTTTCGCGCTATGACACTTTGTTGATCATTAACGGGATTCGTTCTCGATATTAATTTATCCATTATGATTTGTTGAATAAACTAACGAATACATATACGTTTCACACCGCGTGTAAAAGCTATTTTTCAAATAATTTTTTGTTCACTCCTAATGCTACTTTACTCTTAACATGATTGACTCAGACTGTTGTACGACATATCTATACGATATTCTCTGAGACCATGACCAGACGATAAATACTAATTAACTACATCGTATATAGTTTAGTGCGATAGCAGTCTGATAAAACGCGGATAAGTTCTTCCGTTGTGGTTTTATTGTTTTCAGGCACACAATACGCGGTCAGATCACATAAATTCTTTCAAATATATTTTTTGGTTTGTATATGATATAATATCCGCAATATTCACATAAAATGTTTAAATACATAAAAAGCTAATCATATTAAAAATTTGTTTTTTTTTTTAAAATATAATGTGAATTTTGTGAACTGTTAAAATTTAATATATATATATATATATATATATATCTTGACTACAAAATTTATATTCTATATTAAGAAAATTTAATAAATATTATGATGTGTTTTTAATATAAAAGTTATAATGTAAGAAATTAATTTATAATATTTCATTGTTATACATATTATATAAAAGTATATAAAAAGATAGTAGCGTTTAAGAAAGATTAAATCTATTTTCAATTCGTCTTTTTCTCTCTCTCTCTCTCTTTAAACATAAAAATATTTTAAAACATACCAGTCCAAAAAGATGAAGAATAAGATTTCCATGTTTCCGCACTATATTAAAAGCTTGGCAACAAAGGTCCACGAAATGGTGAAATTTCGCTGAAGGTTTATCACCACCATTTATAACATATGCCATATCAGATGTCAGCACAAACGGCGTTCTATCTCTGATTAAAAATATAAATTATAAAATTATCTTCTTTTTTCATATTTTTTACTTAAATTAAAGATATAATAAACAGTACAAGTTCAATAAAAAATATAGAATATATTTACCTCTTAAAGTTTCCAAACATTTGTGAATCACCGAGAAATTTTCCAAAATCAATATGAAACAAATGACCAGATGTTTTTAGCATAATATTATCATTATGCCTATCACAAATTCCTAAAATATAAGTGGCAACGCTATAGCCGGCGCAAGAAGCAGTGAAATTTTCCACTGCTCTCTCATATTCCAGTTCCGAAGGATTATGCTTTGCTAACCACTCTGCGATCGGTCGATCCTTAAACGACCCAGTTAGCCCGAACTCGACTTGAATCTTCCGTAACGTTTCTGCATTCGTTACCATTTCTATCATTCCGCGTTTATGACCAGTGGGTACACAAGCGAAAGTAACCATTTTTAGATCGAGGCCTTCTTTTAACCATAATTTGTCCATAATGCGTACCATCTGAAGAGTCAACATGTCTTGTTGTAGATCATCGCCAACCTGTAATAGAAAATTGCGATATGTATTAATATCAAACAAAAAACTATTTTGCAACATATTTTTAAACGAACCTTGAAAATTGCTGGACATATAACATTGTCACAGCTGACAAAGTTAATTTTCAATGGGAGAGTGAACGACGGAAAATAGGCACATGTCTGTACATTGATACCGAATACTAATTTACTGGGAGACAGTGGTAAACACGTTCCATCATCTTCCATTAACTGGCAGTGTATATTTTGTAAACCAGTTTTAAGCGTATCCATTCGCAGTGACTCCTTTGTAACTTTAATATTCTCTGCCACTTCGTGCAGATTCTACACAAATTACGACTTTAAACACGTGGTTATTGGAAATAAATGAAATACGAAATTTTAAGACTTACTTTAACTAGCAATTGTTGGGTGAGGAAACTTTTTCTTAGCGCATCTCCGATAACTGCTAATAATGCTCTCAACATTAACTGCAATCTTCGTTGATAACGAGCGCAACTAATAGCTTTGTCATCTTCCACAGTAATTTCAGAAGAATTCTAAAAAGATAAATCTTATTTTTATTATACTTAATATAAAAAAAAATGTATATCATTATTGATAATACAGAAAGCAAATTTTCTATTGCTTAAATTATATAGTTATATAAAAAAAGGTGATTTATCATCTGTGATTTATATTGTAAGCATTTAATATAAATGCATAAAATGTAAGCATAAATATATAAATACTTAATAATATCACTAATGCTGATCACCCAACCTGTACCTGGGGACTTTGTCCCGGCAGCGCTTGAGTTAGCAACCAATAAATATAATGAGCCACTCTCGGCGAAAGTAAGGCACGTTCTAACAAGAATTGAGTCAAAGGCGACGCTTCATACGTCTCATGTTTCATCGCTTGAAGTAATTGTGGCAGATAATCAACTAGTTCGTCATTGCTTAACTCGCGAATCCAATCAACTGCCATTTCTCTAACTTTCATATCTGGGAAACTGTAAGAAACAAAGAACGCGATGTTCTATGAAATTATTCTTATTATTGTCTATAGTGAAGAAATGATTGATAAAAATATATACCATGGTAAAAGCAATTGTAATGCTTGTATGGGAGGTAACGGACTCCATATTCTAAGTGATGCATGTAAATCAGGTAGACATGCCCAATCCCAACTGTGTGCAGCTAATAATACTTTTGGTAAAGCTTCGGGTCTATCATGTAAATAATGTCTTTTCTCCCATAGAATTTCCCTTTCGTCAATAGGCGGTCTGAAAATAGAAATATGCAAAATATATTAAAGTTTAAATCCTTTTATATTTATATATAATTACATCATTAAAGCATACCTCGAGAATGTATCCTGTTGCGTAATATCTATTAATAATTCTTGTGTGTTTTGATCTAACGAATTGAAATCTAAGGACTCCACATTATAATCTCGTAAGGAATTGGGAAATAACACCTTTCCTCCATAATCAGGTAATTCTACTCCTATAATAGGATGAATATCGCCACGCGGATGAATTCCAGGCGCTGGGGCTGGACCTAGTCGTTTGTCTGCAATTGCTGGCCAGAGTGACAGAAAAAAACTCCCTTGGCTCATAACGCTAGAATTAAAAAATATATAAAAATGTGAAGCAACGGAAGACAACGTGATATTGCAAAAGTTGCAAAGACAAGTTGAATGCAAAGAAACTTATAAAATACGATATCGTTTACCCGTCATAATCGAAGAATTGTATAGCACCCCATCCGAGTTCTTCTTTTTGCATTGCATTTTCCGCCGATGAGTTAGATTCGTGCTCCGTAGGCTGTAATGTGCGTCCATAAAGAACTAACACGAGTCTGGCTTCTCGTGGTACTTGACACACGCTTATTCCACGAAATTCCAACCTTATATAAATTATATAATTTTTAATAAACCCAATTGTGATATTCTTAAATTGCAAATATTCGCACTTACCATGAATTAAATAAAATCCTTGGATAAAAATTTGAGCTGACCGTCATTGGTTCCGATAAGACTGGATTTCCTACTGGTCTAGTTCCATGAAAAATTTGAGCAGCCACTATATAATCATCATGTTTCCACGTAGTTGGTAACCTATGTAGAGATCCAACACGCACCAGAATGGTATCAAGCACTTCAGTCGCAATCAGTGTATCTATTAAGAGAAAATATATATTATGATTATATATAATTCTGATATAAAATATCTTGCATAACAAAATTTTTTAATTTTCTTACTCGTCGGAAATTCTCCTTTGCTGTTTAATTGAAAATCGACTTTGAAGGCATGACAGTATGTTTCAACGAGTTCTTGAATAGCATCGCGAATTTTATGACAGTGAGACGCAATCACATCAGGGAATTTTTTCCTCAAAGTAACTATTGCGTAATCGCCATCTTCATGTATAATTTCGGGCTTTTTACATTCTATATTAGCCGTATGAGCTTGTGGCAAAAATTGGCAGCAAGCGTTTACAAAATTGTCAACAGCCTCCGTGATTTCAAATGTTTCAATATTTCCCATTAAGGCACATACTGCTTTAACTGCTTGTACTACACCGTGCGGTTGAAGTTGAGGTAATAATGTAGAACCTTGATTTGTAGTTGCCAATTGTAACGCCGCAGTTTCTACGCGTTCCATTTCTTTTTCTACTGTCTCTATAATAATTAAAGTAATGATAATAAAATGCAATAAATTAAATAAATATATCATAAATAAAATATTTTTTTCATATGTACAAATGTACCTAGTAAAATAATTAATGTATCGTATGAAATGGGTTGCGAAGGTTCATTTGGTAGAATGTCCTCTAATCTTAGAAACTGATCACAATTATCATCTTGCAGCTGAAAAAGCAAAAATAATCATTTAAACGGTATATTTACATTGTAATAAATGATTGTATATATATGCATAATACTGACTGTTCGAGCAATTGATTGTTTAATTTGTGCCCTGCTCATTATAGCTAACTCGATATCTTTTTCTAATTTAATACATTGATGTATATACTCGTATTGTGCTAAAGTTGTGTTGGGTGCAAGGTATTCGGCTAGTCCCCATACTCTTAGACAATATTTTTCTACATTTACTGTATCTTCATCTTCTAAGGAACAAGCAACGTTCAAAATAACATGTTCGACACTGCAATTCACTAAAACATAATGTTCAAAATAATTTTAATACAAAAAACACATTTTTTTTAAGAAAAGTTTTTCCAACCTACCATTACAAGTGAAAGTAATAGATGGTGTAGGATCCTTATCATTATTAACTAATTGTGGATGCACTACTAATTTTATACTTGTACCATCCGGATATAGGTTTTCCATCATTGGGCTAACAACATATCCAATATTTGTACTAGGATTATTAAACGGAAATTCGCCTGAAATTAAATCAAGTTGTAAGCAACTAAGATGTTATATAATAAAACATAGTATCCTCATTCTTTTTTACTGACCTCGTATAGATTTTATCATATTATGGAACGCCTTGAGGTCACAATCATGCAGAGATGATCTAGTTTTTATGACTGTTACATTTTCATATAATCGCGTTTGACGCTTCTGTTAAAAAAAATATATATATTAAAGTATCACAATTTTAATAGAAATTAGAGAAATCTTTTTGAAATTTACTCGACGATCTAATGAAGTTCTTCGTCTCTCTATGGTATTCCATGCAGATGAATTTCGAGGAGGCAGTGGAGGTGGTGCAGCTGGCGACACAGCTGGCGACTTTGCAGATTTCTCCACAGCAGCATAAACTGGATCCGAATTAACGCTTTCATTTGTGCTATACATATAATCGAACGGGTCGAATGGATCGTATACACTGCCACTAACTTGTGACTGAGAATCTATAAAAATTATTCAATATTATTTTAAATTTGCTATTATGTTGTATATAAGGGTTATAGACAGAGTAAAATTTTGAAAAAAATCGAATTAATTTTGTAATATTTTAAAAGATATATGTATCGAGAATGCATATACAAAGTTTTAAAGAGATATTCCGAAAATTGACGGAGATACAGCAGTTTTCGTGGAGCAATATTTATACGACGGAGCACGATGGAAATACGAGAGCACAGGTATAATGCGGTGCGCCAACTTGACCTTCTCCGAATTGTATGAGGGGCCCTTTGTTCGTTGCCAGGTCATTTTACTTTACTAGAATACAATTTAGGATAGGCACAATTTTTTGTCAGAGTATAGAAAAGAGGGAAAGTATATTTAGTTATATCTTGGCAACTGTACGGTGCATAACTTGATTTCAGGCGCGTTTGAATAAAACGTTATACGTAGTTGGCCTGTATTAGTTACACGATTTGTGTTATATTAGACATTTTGTAAAGTTTTATTTTTATAAAGTGTTAAAGTGTCATGGATAAGAAAGGAAAAAGGCACAAAGTTAGGAAATCGACGAAGAGAGCTGATAAGAAGAGAAAGATATTTGGTCCTGCAAATTGCTACAAAGCAGAGAAGCCAGACTTGAATGTCAGCACTTTGTCGAAAAAACTAAGTAGTTTTGATGAAACTAATGTGACTCTTAATCCAAGTATTAACTAAAGGATTATCAATTTTGTAATATCGCTACGATATTATTCAATGATGATCATGTCGCACTCCTGGATGTATTGGAGCTTCTACAAATTCAAATTGGCCAAGCGCTATATTTATTGTTACTATATTATTGTCACTATATAGACGAAGAAACGCATGCATATCGCTGAGCGACAGGCCTACGCTAAGACACATGAAGATCGTTTATGCGCTGGAACTGCCTCTGGCGTCGACTAAGAACCGTTTTTTAATGCAGAAGAGCTGTTATATAGTCCAGGGATTGTCGAATAAGAGTAAGCAATTTAAATTTTGAATTTAATGTGCAATTAAAATATAGCAATCTGAAAGTAAAAACGTGTTTCAAACGTGTTTTTTTCAAAATAATTTTTTTTCAACCTCATTGACAGCTAATCAGAAAATGTATTCCACCTATTGACTTGGGGCAAATTGCATTTTATTCAGAAAACATACCTTTATCGCCGGACGTAACCGTTTTTTAATTAATAAAAATTTGACAATTTTATTTATTTTTTCTTTTTTGTAACAAAAAGACCAAATTAAAAAAATTCACATGTCCGCCATTTTGTTACTTTTTGCAATTTTATAATTTCCCTACGTCTGGCTGTAGCTATACTTATTATCTTTTTCCTTTTTTTGTTTCAGAGAGTGCATATAGTCGAATTGTCGTCAACGAGGCAAAAGTAATATTTTAAGGTTACCCTTTGTACAGCAGCTTTAATTATAATATACAAGTTAAACAAATTTTTTTTATGTGCTTCAGTATTAATAGAATAAAGACATCATAAAACAAAATTACCTGATTTTATATATTTAAAAAAATTCCCCGTTAAGAGCTATAGACATCCTGTCTATAGCCCTAACATTAATAAAAAAAATATGAAATTTGATAACCATCTAACTTACCATCTTTCTGTTCTTGCATGGAACTGTTTCCACTGTCAGTCTTAATAAGTAATGGATCAAACGCCTCCAATACACTAACTCGTACATTAGTTTTGTCTTCCGTTTGTTCAAAATTATTCAAATCTATAAGATTGCTATTTGGCTTTTTCTCTATCACTTTTAATACATTCAACTGTTCATCATCCATAGAAAATGGAGCACATATGGCAGGTGCAACAGTTGGTCTATAATTCATAGGCAATGGAGGAATCTAAAAAAAAATATATGAATATATTTAAGACATGATTCTTTGGATTTTTCATTAATTAAGGAAAATTTTTTATTTTTAAACTAGTAAAATTTTTGCAATAAAACATATATTTGTTAAGTATTCTATTCATTAAGAAAGTAAACGTATCTGATTATATCTTACATGCTATGTTAGATTTTTAAGATTAAAGATTATATAAAGACATCAGTATCATTAATAATACTAATAAAAAATACTAATAAAAAAAAGAAAGAAATAAAATTTCTCGAATTTTCAGACAATACCTGCGTGAAGAAAAAATGTTTAAAGATAATAGTTTTCCATGCAGGCTGCAAAGAAAACTATGTTTTAACAGACAGTCCTATATTTATTGATACCCAAATAAATTTAGAAAAAAAAGGAAAAAAAAGATTATGTGAAAGAATATTTATTTTAGAATGAGAAAGATTCTATAAAAATCTGTCTTACCTGTGGTGCAATATCAGGTACATTATTGCTAACGCTACTAGCTCTTGCCATGATAGGACTAATTCCTGGTGTTCCTGGCGTACATGGTGCTGTGGAAGATCGCGGGCCTGGAGAAAGAGAATGATATCTAAAATCTCTAGAATGATATGCGCTGACTGAGCTATTACTTCGAGACACTCTTGATTGTTTCTTTAATAATGATGGATGGGTATCCCATTTAGGTTCTATTGGTGCTTTTCTGCAACAAAAAGCTTTCAATAGTCACGATATTTTATATAAAGAAAAGAAAAAAATTTTTTTAAATTATCTTGTCTTTTAATTAAATATGCTTATTGTAGAAATATATTTACGGTGGTGGTGGAGGTGGAGCCGAACAATATTCAGTCAAATTATCTTGTTTCACAGGGCTTGTGAAATTTATCAGATCAGTAGAAACTTGACTTGTTGTGGTATTTGTTGAATTTCTTCTACATGGTATTGGAGGTGGTGGTGCTAATATTACAGTATTTTTTTGATTTGTGTTAATCGATCCTGGTCTTGGTCGACTTCTGCTTTGAAACCTACATATATTACATAAAGAATTAATTAATTATCATTATATAAACAGAATTATATTTATCAAGATTAAATGATTGTTAAATCAATGAATATTATCAGATGTAATTAATTATGTAACCAAAAAACTACTGATTGTAGTACTATATTTTGTGTGCAGAAATATATACCTTTCTCCCTGTGTGCCATCTGTCTCGGATACACTGTTTGCACTGCACACATTATTTTGCGCGAAGCAAGACTGTGGCACGGTACCAAACTTTTCCAATCGCAACTTCTCCAATCTATATTTCTCTAGAGCCAAGGTTTCCAAACTTAGAGCTTTGGCTTGCTCCAAATCCTCCTGATACTTCCTTTCATGATCAATCACCGCGGTCTTTTGATCGCAGGCGTTTCTACTGTAGTTGGACATCTGAAATTAGATCCAAAGTTCACGTTCACTATTTATCGGTAATATATTCCAATATATTATGATGCGTTGTGACACAGAGCCAACACATGCTAACATTCGAATTAGGAGCAGCAACGGGACGTATCACACATTCTAACCTATACAGAACGGAGAGACAGGGGCAAAATAATAGGAACGGAGATTCTTCTGCACGTATGACGAAGTGGGTAAATTCGCTGTCAGCTTCGAGGGCGATGTTCCTCCCCTTCAGGAGCACTTATCGGTCGTGCATCGCGTCGCTTCGTGTCACCCTGTAAACACCCTGTAAACACTACCGTCCCGTCGGACGGATCTCTCGGAATTTCACAAAACAACGAACACGTAGCGATGACACGAACGCGTGCGCTACTGGTCGCTGGCCTAGCGAACGCGTGTGTTTTGATGAAGGGGAAGTAGGAAGGAAAGGAAAATAAAAGAGAGGAGAAATCGCGGAGCTGCGCGCGATAGTGCGCGGTTTAAAGGGCCACGTTTTGTCGGCCGCGCGATATGAGCACGTCCAATCCAAGTGCGGCTTAGAGAAATCCGCAGACAGAAATACATTTACCGTGGCATTTTATTCTCCGAAGAGAGGCTTGCTTCTCGGTTCGCTGACAGATGCTCACGAAATACCACGTCTCTGCCTCCCGCTCCTCCCTCGCTCTTCCCTCTCTCTCTCTCTCTCCCCTTTTAGTTCACCGCTGTTTCGCTTTCTTGCCGCGCGATTAAAGGGACGATCCGCCGACGCAGCGCCGTGACGCGTTCAGGAAAGTAACGTCCTCGCCCGGCGCACCGCTCCTACGCTGAAATTCCTTGAAAATTTATCGTCGTGCTCTGATTTCAATCTCTCTTCCTTTGTATTTCGCTCGGAGCTCCTCTGAAATCTGCACCAACGAGCACACTGATTCCGCGCACGCGACGAGGTCGCACGCGAGCGAGCGGAGCGGCGCGGTCACGGGAGAGACGCGCGCGCGAACGGCACTGTAGCGAACAACGACGCGCGCTATTACGGTCGCGGCGAGCCCGCGTCACGAGGAAGTGGCTCTCGCTCTTCGTCGAGAGCCGAACAACGAACGTGAGCGAGACGCTCACAGCAGTAGTAGCAGCAGTAGTAGCAGCAGCAGCAGCAGCAGCAGCAGCAGCAGCAGCAAAGGCGGCAGCGGTCTGCGTCGATCGCGCTCCGATCGACCGCGTCGTGCCGGTCGCCGGTGACCGCCTTATTTGATCGCGGTCGATTCAATTTATGGAGCGCGTAGGTAGGCTCACGGACAGTTAGGAGTTCCGCTTACCGTACACATTCGCGTATTCGCGTCGCGACAAACCCGATAGCTCCTTTCGTATATGGAAGCGCATATACGAGCTGCGCGCGTGAAGCCGCTACCAACTTTGTTTATACCGGGTGATTCACGAAATAGGCACGCTCCCGCGAGATATGTTGACAACATGTGGAAACATGTTTACACTGAACGGAAAGTAACGTGTTGTTATCGTGTTACATTTTTTTGACAATGAATTTTGATAATGACGTGTTTGTTTTTTGTTAGTAATATTAATGGTGAAGCAATTATATTTTTTCAGTAAGTCGTAAAAAAATTTTCATATAAGAAATTATATAATAAATATATAAATTATATACGAAATGAATTTCTTATATGTGTTCTTGTATAAAAAATTTTTTATCAGGAATGATGAATAAATAATTTTGTTGTCATATTATATTTTGGTACTTTGCCGGTCTTCAAAGTTTCTTAATGAGAAAATAAAAAAGTTTTTCAATCCTGCTTATAAAGTAAAATATTAAGAGATTTAAAGTTATATCAATAGAATATATATATTATGTGTAACATACAAAATTTGCTTGAATGCTGCGATGCTTTATTTCAAAAAATAAATATATTTTACAAAAATCAAGTATATTGTCTTGTCCCAGAGCAGAATGTCTAAAATCTACGTAATAAGACAACTTTGGGATATTTTTAAGAATTGATAAGATAATTGTATTAATATAATTGACAAGATAATTTTAAGAAACATCTTTAAGATATCTCATAAAAGAACTCTGAAAGATATCTTGAAGTTATCTTATGCGATGATTTTAGATATTCTGTTCATTGGAGATAGCGAGTTTATATTTTAATAACCGTGATCAATATTTTCTTGAAGGAAGAAGGAAAAGAACGTTGTTAAACGTTGTTAAAAACGATTAGATCTAGGAAGACGGAGTAATTGCAAGCCAAAATCCCTCCTCGCTCGTGGTCACGAGACTTCGTCTGCTGAACTTGATCGGCACCGTCGACTTACCGCATATCTCGACACGGTGGTCCTTGAGGAACGATATTATTCCCATCTTGATTTGCAGCAACGCGAATCGCATGCCTGGAAAGTTGCGAAATCGTCATAATACGCGCGCGATTATGATGCGTCAGTTACTTAATTGCTGATTTAACGACGAGTTGCCGTTTTGAGGCAGGCTTATCAGGCCCGGAACGGAGGCTTTTTGCATAAAACACGCGCATACGGTACATTATCAAGGTCGTCGTCCTCCGGGGACGCATAAATTTGCACGCTCAAGCGAGCGGCGCGTCTCGCCTCTCGAGCTAATAATCCGCTAAGCGAGTTGTTTGAATTTCGCACGCGACGCACGCGGCTTTAATAATACGTGCTCTCGCGTGCCTCTGTTATTATTTGAATTGAACGATCAGTTAAAGATAACGAATCGAGTATTGGCTGAATGTAATTCAATAACGCTGGCTTTTTTGCCAACGGACGGAAAAGATAAGGGAAAACCGTATGAATCGATAAGAATGACGAAGGAATGAGATTTTACGACGCTTTTACAAATCTTACTCTCGTGATATAATCGCTTATCATGAATACACTTATGTTTCCCAAAACAATGCTGACCGAAATCAATAAGCTTTTTTTTATTTTAAATGCAATGACGTAATGTCGCGCGTTGAATCAGCGAATTATGAATTCGAGATAGATTATTTGCTTAATGTTTGCTTAATCTTAATCTCGCGATTATGCTGCGATATCATCATTTATAGCCATTCTACGGAAGAATTAAAATTTAATAAGCTTCGTCCGGAAAAAATACTGAAGTAAAACATGCTTGAAAGATAAACGTAGTCGAGCGAGTCTCCTTAGGTAATGTTAATTAAATTTACAACGTTTCAAGAGCTAAGCGTCGATTTGCATCAAGAAATATTCTTATTTTCAAGCGAAAAGAAAAACAGATGCCAAGGAAAAAGATCACGCTGTAAGAGAAGAAAGCTTTCGGAAAATCTTAAAGCTTTTCTTCGAGCGTAGATAGTATATACCTATGCAATTTCGTGGCCCTTCTCCAAATGGAAGATACGTGTAAGGATGTCTCGTACGTTTGTTCTCCTCGGTAAATCTTTCGGGATCAAATCTTGACGGATCGGGATAGTAAGTCGGATCATGGTGGAGGCCATAAATCGGTATGATGACCCGTATGCCGACTGGCAGCTCCACTTCGGTATTCGGTATTTGGTATTTGTGCTCGCATCTTCGAGAGAGCAGCGGAGCTGGCGGATACTTCCTGAGAGTTTCTACACATTTCACATTTCCATAAGCAAATTCCCAAATTATCTCCAACCGTTTTTATTTTTATCGCGTGACGCATTTGATCTCGAATGGAGATTTGGGTGAATGAGATTCGAATTCCGCTCGTGATAAAAAATTACGCTCGTGCGGACGATGGATATCGTCGATTAAGTTTTTCCTTAATTTCGGATTTCTTGTTAATGATATTATCGGATTCGTACCTAGTATTACCATGTCGAGATATTTCATTTCCTGTACCGCGTCATAAGTTAATTTTCCACCTTGTGCTTCTATGGCGCCGCATACCTCTCGCCTGGTCTTATCTTGGATGTCTTGATTCAAGGCCAGCTCGTAGAGGCAGAATGCGATCGTGTTCGAGGACGTTTCGTAGCCGGCGGCAAAGAAAACGAACGCTTGTGCCGCGATAGTGCTCTCATCTAAGACTATAAATAACGATGTTTTTTAATCTTTGTAAACAAAATGACGCTCGTTAACTTTCGCACGGCGTCGCGTCGCAACTTGATTTACCGATTTCCTTAGCCGCTTGGACATCCTCGTCATTGCAGACCCGTGGATTGCTAACTTCATTCTCCAGAGTACCCTTGTTTTTCAGCTCGATTAACAAATCCATGAAGTCATGCCTAGTCGTGCCGTTGTCCTCTCTCTGATCGATCATCTGCGATACGACGTCCATGAAGAACTTGGTGACGCCGGGATCGACGATCTGCACGCCCAGCAGTCTGTATAATCTTGGCATAGACGTTCGTAGCATCCTCCAGAGAGTAGCCTTGTAACTTGGCTTCGAGAGCGTCTTCGCCGCCCTGTGAAACTCAGATTCCTCGTCGGTGAGCGCGTTTATCTGTATGCCGAAGGCGCAGCTGCCGATGACATCGATGGTGAACTTCGTGGCCAGTTCCCGTACCTCGACTGCCCGATCTACATTGCGGCTCGCCTCCTTGATGAGCCTCTGCAATTCCTCACCACATTCCCCCAGGAGATAGAACATCCGTTTCAGCTTGCCCGACGAGAACGCGGGCGTCAATTTCGACCTGAGGCCCTTCCACTTATGCCCTTCGAGGTTGAACAGATGCCCGGAGAGCGGATCCTAACGGAGTAGCACGCTTTAAAATTAAAGCTTGTCGAGAATGGAATTTTTGTTATTATTTTAACAAGTATTTTATTAGCGATTGGTCGATCGAGAAACGAAACGATTCTATTAATAGTCGTATACCTGAGCGTTATTGATCGGAATCCCACGATTCAGGAAGTGAGAGAAATCCTTGACGCATACGCTCTTCACCAGCTCGGGATCGCGTAAGATCAGCACGGGCGATCTTACTCGGAACGCGCCAAAGAACCTTTCATCTTTGAACCATTGATACATCTCTTTCACGCCTTCCGGCTGCGACTTTCGGAATAGAAGCAGGGAACCGAAATTCCCAACGAGCACAGTCGGCTTCTTGAAAGGTACACCACGACATTCCCAAAAGTCAAAGGTGGCCGTAAGATAAAGGTACAGAATACCGAGGAAGAAACCGATAAGAAGAAAGGGATCTAGTAATATCGCTAAGATACCCAGCATTTTTAACTTCAATTCTACGTACAAGGTTCAAAGAAACACCTTTCTATCTAAGAAGATATAGAAAACAGAATTCTTCTGTTCTTTCTTATAATAATTTATCTCCGTTAATTACGTACACGAGTAACGTGTGTTTTACATTGCGATTTTGATAACCTTTTGATGTAAGCTGATTATTTAATAGCTTCGCTGAATCATATCGAATGTCGATTTAACATCCGTTGAATCACGCAATGCAGCTGCGGCTGTTTGGCGAGGTCTATTTTTAAATTCGTTTTACAAACGTAAACACTCGGCCGCGCAAAGGTATACCTCGGAGATAGATTACGATGTTCATACTCGCGCTATGTTTGCAATAGATCCGATTACACGTGAGCTTTAATGCATGTATACATAAAACGCGCTCACAGACATTTAACGGGGAGGGGGGGAGTCCCACACGAGTTCGCTTCTTAAACCACCTGCTGCTTTCAACGACGACATCAAGACATTAGCATTAAAACACTTTCCATCACATTCGCGTCACAATTCAATCATTTTCATTGAACAAGTGTCGTATAAACGTTTCAGAGGTATCTTACATTCTTCAGAGAATGAGCTCTAAAAAAAAAAAAAAAAAAACCAACATTTCCTGATTGTCATATCTTTTCTGAGAATTTTATATAAATTTCATTACGATTCCATATTCTTGTTAAAAAAGTGCTTTGTACTTTCCAGATTGATAACGATCTAAGATAAAATTATGCTTGATTAATTTGTCGATATTTTTTGCAAAAGCATTTTGTTTTCGTTGCGTCTGTAATCTTCTAAAAGAAAAGGAGAAATGTGGAACAGTACGAAAAAACGAAAAAAGAAAAAACAAAAAATAGGTAAATTTAAAAAAAAATAGGTATATTTTAATCTATTAAAATTCTTAGTGTCATTGATTTCTAATAACGATGTGCGCTTTAAACGCGACCTAGTTTCGAAGAAATGTCAGCACAATTAGGTCGAGTTTTGTACATTTAGATAAGCGATAACTTTTACTTCGTTTACGCTGCGTCACGCAGTGTTCGCTCTGCGACGCGACGGTACCGATTACTCATCGGCGCACTCCGTTTCTTCGTCGAAGGGATGCGCACTCACTCACTGGCATTCCAAGGAATAACAAATCCGACAGCACAAGCTGGCTCATCCGACTTCGCGTAAAGGACTTCAATTGCACTAGAAGACATTCTGCGACGTGATTGCGCTCGCATCGGCCGCAGTTTTCCGTTTCGCGGCGCAATCGGCGACCGAGTCGCAAGTCGAGGCGATCGCCGAGAAAACGGCGAGATGAAAAGGCGGGGAACGACCGGGAGGGAAAAATGACGCGTATAATACGTCGTGTAGCCTCGTCGAAAGGCAGACCTCCCACCGACTGGAAGGCATGAACGAACGTCACGCATTTATAGAGACCTGACGCTCGCGCCGGCTTTGAGCCGAGCTTGTTGGCCGATCTGATACCTTTGCGAATAGCTCCGGGTTATCTTCGAGAAGTTTCTGCATCCCTCTCCATCCCCGTTATCAGCCGCGCTGAGTGGAGGTTGCCTTCTTTCTCGCGTCACGCGTGGTCGATTATTCTCGTGTGTCGTGAACAATTCATTGTTCCGTTTGAATAAACTATTTTTTTTCGCAGAAAACCGAAAAGCGAATTTAATTGTAACATTAAATGTATCAAAGCACTTAAGATGCACATCAATGCACATCAGATATTTTTATATAGCTTAAAATTTTTTTAAAGTTCATTTTATAACGTAAAATAAAAATTGTGCGTGAAATTTTGCGTGATATCTAAAGGGTTAATCTAATCTGTGTTAAACCAACATCTGTGATTTGATTCTGAAGGCCCATAGAACGCGTGACTGCTCATACGAAACGTTATCTCTCAAATACGATCAACATGATGCACGTATTGATAAATAGAGAGAGATATTTCAATATATTTTTATATCCCATATAAATAAAACAACACGAACATTAATCTTTTCAATCGTGTTTTTGCACTAAAAATTGTATTGTTTTATCTCTTTTGTGTCTTTTTCCCTTTTAATTAGATCAGATATTTGTTTAATCAAACAAACGCGCAAAGTTGAAAATAACGTAACTGAGGAACAAGTAAACTTTCTTTCTTTCACAATAGAAAGTTAATTGTTACTCGCGCAAGCTTTGATATCGTCAAAATATCAAGCATGCAATAATGCGTTACATCTAAATACGACGATGTTTGTTCTTCTCTTTTTTTCTTGGCGATGTGTATTGCAAATGAAAATGCATTTTCCTTTAACATTTATCTTCATAACACTGATCCTTACTTTGATGGAAACAGATGATAGAGCGTAGGGAATTGTTTACATTCCTTTCACATGTTTATTTGATTCGTACAGGCTTTTTCAATAAATTCACTATTTCCTTTTATATTTTTATAAAAACATAATTAAAGTGTAAACGTATTATAATGTAATTATTATTGAAGTTTAAAAAAATCTATCGAAATTTTGTTTGATAAGATGCAGATTTTATCATTTTGCACGATAACATTTTTGTAATATTATATTAGATGTGAATGTAAGTTTATCTTTCTCATTCAAAATATTATCTTATCAATATTTTTAACGCTATCATAAGATTTTTTGTAACATTATGAAATGATAAACTGTAAGTGGTTGTGGAATGTTATTATATGATTATTTATTATATGATTAAATCTTAATCTATATCTTTAGATATGCATTATTAGCTGCATATACAAAAGAAACATATTTATATTTCTAAAAATATAACATCCACAAAAACCGTTAGTCCTTTTGTAAATAAATAAATAAATTAATTAATTATAAAAATTTATAATCGTGTTATATCGTAAATATATAAATATACTATATTCTATTCTTTATTTAAGATCGCTTCATATAAGACATATAAGACATGAAAAATAATAAGAAATACAACTATAAGAGCAAATGATAAACGTAGCTTGCCTTTTGTTCGATCCTTTTTATAATTATAATTTTTATTTTAAATGTAAAAATATAAGAATTTAGAAAAATTAAACAGGAAAGATGTTAAATTCAGTAACCAACCGCTGATAACTGGCCGACTATTGATCTTGTTGTCTGCTATGGAAGCGACAGATTTTCATCGATGGAAATGCTTCGCGAATTGTACGATACGCGGAGCAAATTTTACAAACATTCTCCTATTTCCATTTAAATCAAAGAAATTATATTTCAACATAAGCTCAGCTGAAATCAGAATATTTCATATACTACTCTAAGAGAAGCGCTATGTTTTCCGTAGATGGTTCATACTGTCGTACAATTTTTAAATTAACATATATATTTTAAAAATAACCGATTCTTTTTTATACGTATTTGCAAATAAATATTTTTTTAAAAATATAAATTATGAAATATATATATAAATATAATAATATGAAATAAATTATAATGCATATACTTTTAAAGTTTAATTAATGTTTGTATTCGTATTTAGAAGAAAAGATCTAAATTTGCAATTTAAAAATTCTGAACATGTAATCACGCGTATCTTTTTTTCTCATCGCTACTTTAAGCAACAAATCTTTTTGCACATTCTCTGAAATTCGGAATCACCTTTTTGTTACGTGTTTCAAGCCCGAAGAAACAGGTAATGATAGTTTCGATAGCTAAACTTGGCAGCAAGATCTGGGAATTCGACCGGCTTCTCATTGTGCCCGTGTATTGTTCTATTATTCTACAAATTGCTAAACCAGACAACCACTATTAGTTTAGTATGAGTTTATGACTTAAATACAAGTTTTGGAAAATATTATTATTATTTGTGCAAAAGGATTCAGCTGTAGATATTATCATTAAATTATCATTTTAATTCTGCCTTTAAATTATACTATATTTTTATGAATATTTTGACGAGACAATTTTCCGTGAAACGTATATTATTATTACTAAAAAGAAAAAATATGCGATAGTATGTGATGCCTTGAAATTTTCAGACACGATTACGATTAATCCGAATATGTGTCGGATTTTACTGGTTACGAAGGCTGGTGTAAGCTTTGTCACAAATTTCACCGTTGTCCATCTAGATTGACTAAATTTGCAGTAAGCGGATCAACGTGTTCGTTTGTTGCTGTTCCACGACCTAAATAGGACTATGAATAAATAATCAGAAATTGTATTTATGTGAATGCAATCGCTGTGAAATTGTATTTATGTGAATGCAATCGCTTATGAAAGTTACGTTACAATTTCATTATGCCTGAAAAATAAATATATAAATAACTATCGATGTTTAATCGCAGTTAATTATTAATTTCGCTATGTATAAATATATATCATTTATGAAAGATTTTTACTACAAATCCGATACTAACGATGGTAGTAAAATCAATAAATTTTTAAATTAAACTGATTATTTCATAGAAATTTGTCCCATTAACGCAAGCTAATTAAACTATAGATATAAAATTATAGACATGTTATTAAAAGTAATATCTTAACTATAAGTTTGAAGTACGTCTTTGCTATGATCTTCTATAAATATTATATAAATAATTATAAAACTTGGAATATTCAAGAAAAATCAAATAATTTTCTACAGAATTAAAAAAGATATTAGATGTGTATTTCCGGGTATGTATTTGTTCAGATTTGATTGATGTGTAAATAATTTTATGGGTGTTTCGCGAACAAAGGGTATATGATTTATAATAGCCTACGGATATTGATAGTTTCCGTGACGTTAAATTATCGAGATAATTTTGTATTTTGAAAATAGTTACGCCATAACATAATAAGTCTTAACTGTTATCGATGTATCCAGAATCTGACAGATGTGAATATGAATTTTTTTTTATAAAATTGAGAATTAAAATTCTATAATATGTAAATTTTTAGTTTATTGAAATCAAAATTAAATATAATATCACAATTATTTTCTGATGAGTCTTCGAAATAGATTTATTACCATAAAGTAAATTCTCGCTTTGTATATTTTCTTCACGGATAATACTCTCGTAAATATCCGCAGAGAAATGATTGCCAATTTAAAACATGTCTCGCAGTAAGACATGCTTGACATTAATTACTTCATTGAAATTTTTTTAATTATGGATTGCCTCGTGAATCTTGAATTACTTCGTGGTGACAATAAAATGGCGAAACTTACTCTCGAGTATGACGTGAGTTAAGCTAAATTACGAGGATCGCCATCTGCGATATCTTGCGTAATAAATCCGCGTCCGCTGGACCGCATAGCAGATCCGGCAGCATCGACGCAGTCGGATTCGCAGTTGGAAGAGGCCGCTGCCGCCGCTGTTGGCGGTCGACCGCCTCGAAATGTTGATGCTAAATAAAACTCCTAGCTGCTTGGGCCGATGCCATGCGCTCTAATTTCCGCGAAGGCACAGCCGTGGCCTGTGGACGTGGTGGCCCGGGATCTGCCACGTCGGAGGGCGATCAGCGCGACAGATCGCCGATAGATCCTAGCGATTCTTCGAACGCGAAGTGGAGGAATTCGGAGGAGGCGGAGAAACCGCGGGTGAAAAGACACGAGGTCGTTTTAACTTTGACGATTTGTTGGACGAGAAATTATTCTCGCGCATCAACCGACAGGTTATCATCAAGCCTCGTGAGCAACGTTCGGTCCTCGCCTCTTCCATGTGAAGGCTCGTCCTGTCATGGCTGTCGCCCTTCTGGGCAAGTGTGTCTCGCTGCTGGGTCTCGTTATACTACTCTACGCCACCTGCTATGGCTTCCGGATACGTGACATCGTGCCACAGACGCATCATCCGACTGTCTGCGTCCCCGCGCATGGCAAAACCTGCCCAGCGGACAAAACGGTGACGACCGAAGGACCGATGTACCTAGCCCGGAAATGGCACGAAGGCACGGTGCCGCGGACTGGTGACCGGAAACTACCTGTCGAGCCGACATCAGGTGTTGGAACAGAGAGAACTCGAATTGAGAGGATCACTGAACATCTGAAAGACAGGGTTGCGACTGGATTTACGTTCAAAAGCTCCAGGAGAGAAAGTGACGGCGAAGTAGATGACGACGAAGAGGAGGAAGAAACGGGTGTGGAAGTGGAAGATGCAGAAGAGGAGGAACCGGTGGGGGATTCTCAGAGAGATCAAGCAGACAGTGATGAAGATGATGATGAAGAAGAAAGAGGATCCGAGGCTGAACTATTAAATGAAAGTGAAGATGAAGATGAAGATGAAGATGAAGATGAAGATGACATGAAAGTTCTCAAAAAAGATTCAAAGAAGCAAGTGGATGAAATTAAGACACAAATTAAAATCGCAAAGATTGTTAAATCAATGAAATATAGTAAAAGCAAATCTGATGATGATAAGAAAGAAGAGGAAGATGACGAGAAAGAAGAAGAAGAGAAGAAAGCAGCAGCCAAGGTAGATCAGCGAAAAGCAACAGAATCACTTAAAAAGCAAATTGATATACCGCATAAAAAACAAGAACAAGATAAAATTCAGACTTCGCAAAGCGATGAAGATAAGGATGACGATGAGGATAAAGATAAAGAACCTGATGTAAAAGAAACTACTCCAACATTCAGAAAATTGGAAAAAGTAAGGCATGCTGATAAAGATAGATCATCTAAAATTTTACCAAGTAAACGCGATGTGGAAAAACCAAAGCAAGAAGATAAAAAAGTTGAAGTCACAAAACCAACGGTAAAAAAGACGACTGAAAGTACAAAGAAAATTGAAGTAATTGAAAGCACGAAAGAATCTGTCGACGGCACGAAGAAATCAGTCGAAAGTGCCAGAAGATTAACTGAAGACACAAAAAAAGTTGAATCGGTTAAGGTTACTCCTAAGCCTAAGGTTGATGTGCCTGAAACTGCAACAAAAGCAGACGAAAAATCGAAGACGCGCGTAAAATCGGAAACTTCAACGCCTGCACCGAAGATTAAGGAGCAAACGAAACAACCGGAGAAGACGGATGTCAAAAAAGTAACGGCGAAACCAACTTCGAGACCGTCGAAGGAAGTTTCGCCAGCGCAGAGTGAGTATTATGTGAACAGTTCGAAAAGCGAGTTTATCCAAAGATGTTTAGTATTCCCGCGTGAATAGGCATTGCATTGCTAGTATCTTAAGTTAATAATCTAACTAAAGTAATAATCAACGACCGTGATCTTTTTATTTTTCGTTAAGCTTCTTCTGCGCGCAGAAACTCTGCATTGTTTCTTTCTGAATAGCTTTGAGAAGAAGTTAAAAAATTTTTTTCTCTTTAAATAGACCTTTTTTGAAAAATATATGATCAGTTTATCTTTTGGTTTAATGAAAGCAGATAAAGACGCATATCAGAATTTTAAAATGGGAATTTCCTAGGGAAAATTTTGCGATTCATTACGCGTAATTAATTAGACGATATTTTTTTAGAACAAGAAACGAAGCCGAAAACGAAGATATCTCACGCAGATGCATCGATTACATTGTCCGAATTTAATGATGCAATTTTGCGTGTGCCGACCTTTGTGCCAAATTTTACGAACGTTGAAAATCCCGAGTGTCAGCAACACGGCAAGATATTCCTGCGACAATTGAGAGGTTACAAGTTGTGGGCGCTGCAAAGTGAGTCCATTGACAGAAATAACTGTTCATTCTATTTTGGCATTGAGAAGCCAGAATTGTGATTACCTTTAAGCAAAAGGTGCTCAGTATATAAACTAATAATTATTAATTATATAATTTTTGAAATATACAAATATTTTTTATTAAATTTTTTTAATTGGTATTAATTTGTATTTTAATTTGTATATTTAATTTGCAATGGTCGAATGCTTTTATTCTAAAAAATTTCATCAGTTTTATCAAACCAAAGACATCTTATCTTGTTTACATCTTATCTTGTTAGTGTTAGATTCGAGCGCAAAGATTCCATCGGGCTTGTTAAGAGGAAATGTGAACCAGTTCGGGGATTACGACCAATGTTTGGGTGTGCTGGCGCATGTTAAAGTAGACGAGAAGACGATAAGAATTCAAGGAAAATATTGCCTGGCTACTGTGGACGTACATGCTTCTCATTCAGATATGAGGCTACCGGTCAATTTAATGCAAGCTCGCGCCTTTATACGAGGAAGCATGCACGACGTAAGAAATCTCGTTCACCCGTTAAACGGAAGTAAATTATGAAAATATACACGTCGTATCTCGCACGAAATATAGACGAACGTATGTGAAAGAGATAGATAATAAAGATCTATTTTATAAACATTTTTTTGAAATTAGGAATTGTCTAAATTAGGAATTGTCTTGTTAAATGTTTTTATTGTAACAATAATTAAAAATTGTAAAATAATCTTCGGTTTTTTTAAATAAATTAGTGTTTCTCGGAATTAAAAAATTTCTAGTAATCTATTGGATGTTTCAGCCAGGTCATTTCATTCCAAAATTCACAACGTTTAATTGGGCGCTGTGTCTACCCGCGGCGTGTTCCGCTGAGGACGCTGAACATGCGTTAAAAAATACTTTAAAGGATTATAATGGAACTGTTGGAATTAAATTTACAGTGGATGTCGATTCTAATATGTGCTACGTGAAGCAAAAGTCTCAGACTTATTCGAAAGAGACAATCGGCGTTTTGTAAGTAATTTTTTATCGTATTTAAAAAAAAATGCTATCGATTAATCCATATTGCTAATTTATTTTGTAGGTACTTTTACGCCATGATTGTTTGTCTCGTTATTGTAGCGACCGTGAGGGATTATTTCGTGGAGACGCGAGGGAAAGGTACGTGGTCTCGATAAATTAATCTCTTGCGAAACTAAAATTAGGTTTGCAAGAATATTTCCCAGTTCAATTCAGCGGCGATTACGGGATAATGCATCTCGCGTCTCCTTCGCAGGAAATTATTCTGAGAGGATAATCATGTCATTTTCCTTACGAAGGACGATTAAAGCGTTATTGAAAGAAGCGACAGGCGCTGCGGATATTACGTGTATCTATGGAATAAGAGCACTGGCTACGATCGTCCTTTACATTGCCCACCAGCTTATAACAATTTCCCGAATACCCTTTAGCAACCGTACTTCTCTCACCGAGGTAAGTTTGTTGACACAGACAGAGTCCGCCTTTGCGTTATAATGCCTCGATGTATGGCTTCGTTTGATCAAACGGTTCAAACAGATCGCCAACAGTCCGGTTAGTTCTGTTCTGCGAGTATCACTAGTTTACACGGATGCATTTCTGCTGTTAAGCGGCGTTTTGACCGCTTACAACATGGCGAATGAACTGAAGACTCGTGGCGAAATTCGCTGGTTTTGCCGTTTCATTGCCAGATTTATCAGGTACTTTGAGCTCAACGAGAAAGACAATATTTTGCGCAGTTATTCGATTTGAGAAAAAATTAATTATTCATTGGAATACTCTTCAGACTTACACCGGCATTACTCGCAGTGGTCTTTTGGTACGCGTTCGTGATGGAGCACGTTGGATCGGGTCCGCAATGGAACAGCGTCATCATGGCGAATGCGGAGCTTTGCAAGTACAACGCGTGGACGAATCTGTTGTACGTGCAGAATTTTTTCCCCTTCGAGGAGATGGTGAGTAAATGACGAGCGAATCGAAGAACGATATTTATCGATGAGTCTGTTATATAGTGCGCCACGCACACATATCAGTTGGCCTTGGACATGCAGCTGTCGCTCTTGGCGCCTATTCTGGTCTTCTTTCTGCAATATAAACTCCTCATCGGTATTCTCCTGATGGCTTTTCTCATTCTGTTATCTGCTACCCTTCGTTACATAGCGACAGTGAACAATTATCTGTCTTTCGTCATCTATCACGGGATATCGTGAGTATATATCTCGATTATCTTTCGCGTAAACCTCGGAAATAACGCGGACTTTGACTTTACACTCTTGATTGCAGATTAAAACGTCTTTACAAGACTGCCAATTTAGCTTACGCGTTGCCGCTGCACAGAGCCACGCCATATGTTTTCGGTGTCGGTCTCGGTGTGCTGTTGCATTACACCGGGAATAACGTCAGGATTCACAGGGTACTCTCCTCCAGCATAATCATATTCGCGCGTGATCGTGGCAACGTTCTCATTTCAGGTATTAGTGATCTTGGGCTGGTTGATCGCAATGGCCCTGGGTTCATGGTCGTTATTTTCACCCTGGCATCAAGCCAGACGAGATTACGTGTACGACGCTGAAGAGGCCACTCACTATGCAGTGATCGGGCCGGTGCTGTGGGCCGCGGCTCTATGTTGGTCAATATTTGCCTGCTTCACGGGGCACGGAGGTCTGTTGTAACGCCGTGATAACAACTTAATAGGACGTGTAAATACGAAATTGATACAATAATCGCTCGCTCCGTAGGCATCGTTAATAGATTTCTCTCCAACTACTGGCTGGTAATCCTTAGCAGGATATCGTACGCCGTGTATCTAACACAATTTGCAGTATTCTTCTACAATGTTGGGACCACGAGATTCTCCACGGAATTTCAGTTTCATAGAGCAGTAAGTCGTGACGGACGAAGCGAGGATACTTTTAAGCCTCGCAGCGTCTTGAAATCGTGAATTCATTAAGCTTATATTCTTACCGCACATTTAGCGCTAAATTTAGTGCCTTTCCAATTATCATCTTTCATGATGTAGTATGCTATTAGTTTTGATATGAAATATCTCTCGATAATATAAACAATTAGAAAAATAATTCAAATGCGAATCTCAATATCAGACTGTCACGTTTAGGGCTATCTGATGTGTGACTGAAATGTGAATGCATATACGGGTACATTATTCTTACATTTGCAGATTGATCCTCTGGAAGTAGCGATAGTGATAGCCGCGTCAATCGTTTTGACGTTACTTTTTGATCTTCCGATGCAGGAAGTGAAGAGCGTCATAATGGAAAGCACGGATGTTTCGGCGCTTGAAGCTTCCGAAGAAAAAAAGACAAGCGTGAGTGAGGATAAAAATGTCGAAATCGCTGAACCCGCGAAAGTGGCGATAGAGCAAGCGAATGTGTTCGAGGACGATGAAATCGCATCCACCGGATGGGATTGGCAGAAGGATATAATTCACGGTGCCACCATTCTCGAAGGGCACGACACCGAAGAAGAAATAGTAGATGTGCCGCTGAAGAAGGTGAACGGAAGACGAATGTCGTTCATCGATCGCGATTCCGAAGAAATATCGAATAAAGATCGAATCAAGTCAGTGACTAGAAAATCAGCCACGGAAAGCTATGCGGAACGTAGCAAGATAGGCATAAACAGCCGAAGATACGCGACTGATGATTCTGAGGAAGAAACTATCGAGTTTCTGAGAAGTCAGCGGGAACATGACGAGGCGATGGCTCCGCGTAACAGGCGTTCATTATCCAAAACTAAAGATAACAAGAGACCTTCGAGGAGTAGCGAGGATGAGGAAGAGAGGCAACATCGAAGAGAAATGGAGAACAGCTCTAGACAATTCCGGAGATCGGAATCCAAAGGAAGAGTACCGGTCAAGGAAACGGATGATTATCGCTCCTGGGAATTTGTTGGAAAAGAAAGTTCATCCGCCAGAGAACAATACGAGTCGAAACCGCCCCTGAGATCGGATATCGCGAGAAGAACGTTCTCTTCCGAGAGCGAGGAGGAGCCATCGGTTCAAGAAAGAACGAAGCCGATGCGCGTTTCGAGTTCTGAGACAAGAACGAGCGATGAAGAGGAATGGGAATACGAATTGAGGATACGGAGGAAACAGTTTATGGAGAAATTAATCGCTCAACAGCGCGAGGCATTGGTTGAGGGAGAGAACGAGACCGGCGGGGAATCTTTGAAACGTAGATCCTCTGCAGAAGGTAGGATAGCCTTGCTAAGAGACGATCTTTCAGGTGAAGACAACATGGATTCGTGGACCGTCAGTGTTGGACCGCGGATCACGCTGCTCAGTTCCTCTCAGGAACCGAGCGAGCCTGAAGAAGATGGCATTTACATGCGACGTAGAGAATACCGTGAACAGGGTCCACCATCGAGAGAAGAGAGTTTGAGCGAGGAAGAAAGCACCAGCCAAGACGCTTCGAGGAGACAATCCTATACCAGCGGTAGTCAAAAGACATCTTTAGAAGAGGAAGACGACGTTAACAGCTACAATTTCGTCTTGACTAAGGGAAGTAAGAGAGAATCCTTGCAAGATTTGTCGAAATTGTCGCAGGAGGAATTAACGAGTGCCGGATGGAACGTCGTGAAGAAAGAAGGTGATGTCACGGTCAAACCGAGCGGCTTATTTAAACGAGAGTCCATTGTAAAAAGTCAGGCTAGCGAGGAAGATCCCGAGTATCTTCTACCGGAACGACCTAAGCTGGTTCAACAGGAACGGGAGCATCCTTTCAAGAAGGCCTGGCAGATGCAGAAATCCAGATCGGAAGAGGAAGGCTCCTCGGCGTATATTATAAAGGATCCTAAGGAGCAACAATCCGAATCTAAAACTAAGGAACAATCGATCAAACGCGAACGCAGTGGCGAACAGTCGGAAGATGTCGAGTCATTCGCCGACGACGAATCGGTCGAAGCCACCGTGATATTACGAGGTAGGAGTACCGACACGGAAGAAACGAGAACCAGCTCGAAATCGGGCACGGACGAAACAGATTCGATCTCGACGGAACACAGTAGACATTACAGACAGAGCTCGAAATCTGAGACCGACGAAGATTCCGCGAAATTTAATTGGCCCGGCGAGGAGGAGGAAGATGAGAAAATGGAAGACGAGATCTACGGAGCCGGTCAGAAGAGGAAGTCAGAGGAAGCGGACTGGGATTGGGAACAAGAGGAAACTTGACGAAAATGGCTTTAGACGATTGTACAGAGTGACTATATCTTACCTTCAAATTTGGTTGAAGGTAAAGAAGAAGCGATGTTCGGAACGTTTGAACCGGACATGTGCGAATTGTGAGAGGGAAGATACATGGAGAAACAATCGAAATTTACATTAATCCTTATATCATATAAGTTAATAAATCATGAAGAAATATTCTATATAAATTATTTTTTTAATTTTTTGTGTTTCCTATGTTATATTGATAAGTATTTTGCAATATGTATTCGCAATATTGATTCTCTTGTCATTTACAATTTTTAAAGTTACTTGTATTTTTATTCTAAGAAATTCCGCAGGATATTTGGTAACTTTACAGAGATAATTATAATTATCGTTAAATAATACATAAGGATTGTGTTTCTTAATACCATAAAAAAAGGATTAAAATGATGATCCGGCATTATATTTTGTTTCTAAACAGCTCATGGATCTAAGCGTGTATTTGCAATTAATTTGCTTTAGTTGTAAGGTCTATCTTTTACGTTTTTCGCGCGAAGCGTGAAGGGACGCATTAGTGGACTAAAGAGGAGAAACGGCCTTGGCTGATATACTTTACGAGACAAAATCTCGTAAAGAGCTCGTGCGCGAGCGCATAATGTTCGCCGTTCGCTCGGGCTGGTAGGCGATCCTCGGCCGGACGCGTTATCCACGTGAGGTGATCTACGCTCGCGTTTATGGCACCACGGGGATTACTTCCGTTCACCATACCTACGGATCTGTGGGTGGTGGTCGCCGCTTACGGCGGTGACGGCGGCGGCGGCGGCAGCGGTTTTCATTGCTTTCGCTCGACCGCCGCCGCGGCAGCGACGATGGTTTGCCTCGTTTATGCCTGTCACACAGGACACGAAGGTAAACGAAGGCTTTATATCCCCTCGCATAAACATATCCTGTACCATACACGCACCGCATAAACTGACGAAAAGATCAGTCGGTCATATTTCATGCTTACGATCCGACCGCTTTATTTACGCCGTTGCTACATTGAGACTAATTACCGGTTTCCCCATCGGTCGGCACGTCGCGCCGCAGGGAATGCTTGTGCGACATATTTGGTTCTGACATTTCGCATAGACAATTAATTAAGCCTTTGTTTATCACATTATTAAAGTATCGGTACTGCTTTCCCGCGGCATATCTAGTTTCACAAGTTGAAACATTGTCAGCCGTAAGCAATATCTAACCAAATAGTTTTCCTATCTCTTTAATATTAATGTTTGCCGAGTAAATTCAAGAATTATATAGCCGAAAGTTCTTGGCCAAATTTTTTTTTTAAATTATTCGCTGTCAATTTATTTTTTCATTAGATGTAGAATATAAAATTATATTCATTTGCTTAAAGCTTATATAATATAATTGTATGCGCGTGGAGGTATGTGCGTGCGTGTGTGTGTGTGTGTGTGTGTGTGTGTGTGTGTGTGTGTGTGTGTGTGTGTGTGT